GAATACCCACATTTGTTATCTGTTATGATTTGATTATGAATTTGTGAATCGCATGCTAGTTAGGGCTAGGAGAGATGCTAGTTTTCAAGGAATAAAACGTAATTAATTGCTTAGTCGAGTTGGTTAGGGTCTTCGACTTTTGTGGAAGAGACCCGGGTTCGAGTCATGGCTTCTTTTTTTGTGGTTAATTAATTTTTTGAGCAAACCAAACATACTCTAATCTTAGAACCAAACATCCCCTAATGTCATGGAAGGGTAAAATCGGAAAAGAGAGCAATTATCACAATTTTTGCCCAATTGTACAGTTATTGCGGACATAAAAATAAACTTAGGATATAACCGAACATTTTTTGAAAATTTGAAGGTCTTTATGGCATTAGCCTTTTCATTGTGCCCCTTTTTTATTTATTTTTGGCATAATTTGTGTTGGCATACAAAGCATTTGATGTCAACTGCTAAAACAATTAAGGTCAACGAGGTTTCCAACATCTTATATATTAAAAGAAAAAACAAACGGTTTTGTGGGGGTTTTCCGTTTTCCCGAATTGATCCTTATCAAACCCTTGATCGGAAAACCGGATTTTTGGGTTGGATTTATCATCCGATTGGTATTTGCGTATATATTCGACCAATCATCAAGATCTTAGCGTACAGTTCTCCACTCTCTCAATCGGATCAGTGATCAATCAATCATGAACATATTCAAGAAGAAACCAACCCCTAAAGGTACGTCGTATGTGCCCTAATTCCTTGTTTTGTGATTGAAATTGATTGTCTTTACACGATTCTTAGTTCAATTACTTCACCTATTCGTGTTTAATTTCGGAAATTATGTTTTTAAACTTGTTAATTCCGTTTTCGTGGCCGGATTCAAGCTTGAACAAGTCTAATCACTTTAATGATAAGTTTTTTTGGGGTGTTTTTGACTGCCTATTCCCAAATTCTTTATTGGACGTATTAATTGCAATATAGTTTCCTTCTAAATCGTTTGCTAATATGTTTTTCTTTCTTATATGATCCAGAAGCACTTCGAGAGAGTAAACGAGAGATGTCCAATGCTACTAGAGGTAAGTTTTATCTTATAGTTAATTGAGTTTCTCTATTAAGTTTTAAGCAATTATTGAATTGCAACATTGTATGTACTTTGTAATTTGATAATCATCACTCAATCAACAGTAATCTCCATTGATATGAGTTTAGACCATACTCAATCTTGTATGTATGGGCTGCTGAAAGTTGCTGTACTGAATAGCATATCATCAAATTTGATGAAGATTTGATAATTTAATATATGCAAGTGCTTTACTAATCACTGAGATTAAAAAATCACATAACAACATGCTACAACATTGATACAAGAGCATGCTTATTAATTAGAATCCAGCATTTCCATCTTGTTCCACACCTGGTTTTCTTCCATCCCATCTTCAAACTAAATGGCATTCTCGAGGTGAACTACAGAAGCATCTTGCTTGATCACATGTTGATTTTCCACTCAAAGTGTAATTCATTTGGAAGGTAGATGATGCTAGTTTTGAACCATATGCCTGTTTTCTGTGATTCAGGTATAGAGAGGGAAATCACAGCATTGCAGTTAGAGGTAAGCTTTTAGCTCCAAACCCCTGAAATATGTAAAACATCAATGCAATCTTGGTCTTGACACAGCAAATACGTTAATTACCACATTGGATTTGATGTATATTTAACTTGCATGTATCCAAATACTAGCACTTTGTTCCTTTAAAAAAGAATGCTAGTATCTTATACATATAAACTCGAGCAGGAAAAGAAGCTTGTTGCCGAGATAAAGAGAACTGCTAAAACAGGAAATGAGGTTAGTTGCTTACTTTTAAGTTTAAACTCACATAGCATATATATAAGTAAAAGTATATACTTTGTTGATTATATGAAGATGAAATTTTTGTGCATTAACATTTGGTTTGTGCAGGCAGCAACAAAGATTTTAGCACGCCAATTGATCAGGCTTAGACAACAAATAGCCAACCTACAAAGTAGTCGGGCTCAAATGAGGGGCATAGCAACACATACACAGGTAAATTTTTAAATGCCAACTTTTTTTTTTTTTTTTTTGTCATAAATAAATTATACCATTTGATTGACTTTCTATGGTTTTAACTTCTCCCAGGCATTAGCTGCACACTCTTCTGTGGCTGTTGGGATGAAAGGTGCTACCAAAGCAATGGCAGCAATGAATAAGGTTGGTTATACAGCAACATATATTTTATATTTTTCTGTTTTCCTCAACATCTTTATGATGTGAATGTGTTGTTTGTAGGAAATGGCTCCTGCAAAGCAAATGAAAGTGATGCAAGATTTCCAGAAGCAATCTGCACAAATGGATATGACTGTAAGATAGTGCATGCCCTTACAATATAAAATTAAAAAAAAAAAAAAAAAAAAAACACTTAGGATTCATTTATTTAGTTCAATTCCTGCTTCCATGGTGTGAGGGAAAATGGAACTTAATACTGGATTATTTTTTTTGTGCAGACTGAAATGATGTCAGATGCGATAGATGATGTTCTTGATGATGATGAAGCTGAGGATGAAACTGATGATCTCACCAACCAGGTAAACTCTATGTTGTTTGGATAAATGATGTAAGAAATATATTAAAGAAAAAAAAAATTGGATGAGGGCAGATTTATAAAAAGTTAGGGCTTAATGGGAAAGGCCTCTTGTGATTTTTTTAATTGTTTTTCTGCATCTGGTTAAAAAGAAACACTCATATATAGCTTATGGAATCAAGTCCATTAAGTAAAAATAAAAAAAAACACCATGTTTTTCACCCAGCATTATTTTTTACCTTTTCATATATAAATGTTTGAAATTGCAGGTGCTAGATGAGATTGGTGTGGATGTGGCTTCACAGGTTTGTAGATATAATTATTACATTGTACTCTTGTTAATCAACAACATGTTTTGTATTTAAGTTTTTGTTGACCTTTTTGCAGTTATCCTCAGCTCCCAAAGGAAAAATTGCTGGGAAAAATACCGAGGATGCTAGCAGGTAAAAAATATTTAAATCTTTTTGCTAACATAGAGCTATTCATCCTAAAATAAGTGCAACATTTTCTTGTCCCTAAACTTTCAAAAACCAGAATTATTATTATTATTTTTTTGTTAATATCTTCATCTTAGTGATTATGATCTTCTTTGTTTGTATGTATATGTAGTTCCGGGATAGATGAACTTGAGAAAAGATTGGCAGCCCTACGAGGTTAATATCAAATATCATACCATTATATCATCAATGGAGAGAGCTTTCCGCAACTTTTTTTTTTGTACATGTTCCATCATATTTCATGTTTTCATGTTGATGTTACTCAATTCATCTTAAATCAATGTTTGTTGCCGTAATTGTGTTGAAGATTAATCCATTTTATCTGAGGTTTTGATGTGTATATCGTTGCAACCAAATTGACAAAGATTTTCACAACATTGATTACCAAACTATTTTATGGAAAACAACAAACAACATATATATTATCCATGTTTCGTCATCACCTTAACATTACATTGCAGTGTAAAAACACAAACTCTCATTTTTTACATATAATTATTATAGTAATTTTTTTTTTTTATATCATATCTCTCTGTTATTATTACTTCCTGATTTGGAGGAACTCGAAGCTTCGAAGAGGATCTTCCCGGCCAGGCTTTGAAGTAGTGGGTTGGGCTCCTCTTTGAGTGGTTGATAAACGGGACCCACTGCTTGAAATCACTCGGCTGGATCTGCCATCTGTCGCCTCTGCTGAAGAACCCGGTCTGCTGCTTAGGTGTTTCGACAAATTACCGTTTCGAGAAGACCGCACTTTTTCAGAATCAGTTTGCTGCTGTTGCATCAAAAAATACCAAAAATTAGGTCACCCAGTCTACCTACAAACATGAGAGAGAGAGAGAGAGAGACGTTTTCCGAAATCCTGGTTCTGGAATGTTCCGGGCGGGTGCCACCTGGCGGATTTCTTCTAGAGTATGGTGCGTCTACTGCACCATGGAGTCCACCTACATCACAAAAAATAAGGCAGGCAGGCTAGTTTAGTTTATTGGACTCGCCTTATACTTGTACTGCATTGGACTGGGACTGAAAATGCAATTCATGTCATGTTCCATCCAAACAGGTACAGGTGACTTGCTTTTTATCTCTCTCCTCCCTCCTATGTGCAAAAAACATAAATGCCCTTTTTCTTTTGGAACCATAGCTTTTAAGTGAGATAGATACCCGAGGCTCTTCCTGTTTTTTCCGCGGATGTCCCAACATTTTGACCACCAGCACCGGCAGCATTCCCAGTTTGTGGCTACAAAACAAAAACAAAAACAAAAACAAAAACAACACAAGATTAGTGTATTTATTTAGTATTATCGTTGTTGTCTTAAATAATAAAATCCACTAACTCGTTCTCGTGAGCTGGCTCCGATTTGTGGATATTTCAATATTGTCCAATCGAATACATAGTCGAATTGATAGCCTGATAAAATAACTCAAATCTCAATCATCAAAAATATCATAATATCAAGATTCAAGACTTGTTTAGTCTTATTCGGTATTCACCTTCACGAATAAACAAGTCGCGGAAAAGCCTTTTCAAATATGAATAATCCGGTTTGTCTTCAAATCTCAATGATCGACAATAATGAAAGTAGGATGTGAACTCTGGCGGATATGATTTGCACAGCACCTGTTGAATAATTAAAATTATTTATAGAATAGAATATGTATATAAATGGCTTGAAATATACCTACCTCTATTGGAGTCAACATCTTCTTTTCACTTATCCTGTCATATTTCTGTTTTTTGGTTCCCGCTTTCAGTCCCTGCCATGGAAGGCTAATGCAAAAACACACATACATGTAATGTAAATCATCCACATACTAATTACTAATTACTAAAACTAAAATATACACTGCTGCATGCATACCTTCCTCTTAAGAAATACATAAGAACATAACCAAGAGATTCCAAATCATCCCGCCTACTTTGTTCTACAATATTTAAACGTACTTGATATTTAATATTTATTACCTCAAAATAAAAATAAATGAAAATTTTGCCAGACAAATCACTTACCAACCCCAAGGTGTGTGTTGACACTAGCATAACGAGCCGTGCCAGTCAGATTCTTGTTTTCCCTACAAGTCAAGTCGTACACTAATAAATAGAAATACCTTATATTATAACATTAACAGGTGCCAATAAACAATAACATCCCCCAAATCATGACTTATTTAACAATATAATTCCAGGATAGCTAAGCTAACTTACCTGTAAGGTATGTGTCTATGAGTTTGAAGATCCCTATACTTTTTTGCAAGCCCAAAATCAATGACATACACCTGCCATAACACACATTCATGCACCATTATTACAACTTCTTTTTTTACCATGCAAAATACTACAATTATTTAGCTTCTGTTTCTTTTATACTTAATGATCTTAATGGGTTAAGCACTTAACCTGGACAGCTATACATGGCAGTTTCATTTTGACTTCATCCAGACGGAATTACTTATTGGGTTAAGCCAAAAACATGACTTAATGTATTAAGACAATCATTGATCAATAGTATACTAATTATATGTACCCATAAGGGTAAAATGGTCATTTAGTCTCATTCCAATGATTTATTCAGTCTAGAAAAGAAACAGACTGACAGACAGCAATTTATCCAGACACACATCATTACTCATTCAGCCACTTTACTCATGACTGAAGAGGGGAAAAAAAAACAGCCCCTACGACAACATTTTTCAATCACATTGAAACTCTACATATAAATAAACCAATAACATAAGCATATAGTGTCCCAAAAGATCAACAAATTTGACAATCACCTGATTTGCTTTGCGGCCCAGGCCCATTAAAAAATTGTCAGGCTTTAGGTCACGGTGAAGAAAACTCCTTGCATGCATGAACTCAACTCTATTAATCTGCATTATAAGTAAGTTGCATAAATAAATGAGAAATGATTTTTAAAATATAAAGATAGCACTTACTAATTGATCTGCAAGCATTAGAACAGTCTTCAAGGTAAATTTTCTATTGCAATAGTTGAAAAGATCTTCCAGACTTGGTCCAAGGAGGTCAATCACCATGATATTGTACTCACCCTCAATTCCAAACCACTTAAGACTAGGTACTCCCGCTTCATTAACAAGATAAACAAATTGTCATTTTATTTCTAAATTTTGTATTTACTTTTTGCCCCAATTAGATTGAGCATTTGAGTGAGAAAGACTCACTTCCTCCCTGGAGAAGCATATATACTTTCGATTCATAATGAAGTTGAGGATGTTTTGTCTTCGTGGGTTCCTGGGAATGAAGCCACAACATGCCTGTTAATGGAATAATCAAGCAATCATAACATCCAAAGCTAATAGTCAATCAAATACCAGTTTAACGCCAACTTCTTCCCCACTTTGAATATTAACACCTGCATATCATCAAACAAAGAACGAAAATGAATGGATATGAAGTACTAAAAACACAGATATAATACCTGAAATTGATGCTTAAAACAGAGAATCTGGAACATACCTAAATAAAGCTCACCAAATGATCCGCTCCCAATTTTCCTCCCAAGCTTAAACTTTCCACCAACAATATGATCCATGATTATTGCTTCAATTAACTCCAGCTGTAAACATGAACTGCTAAACTATACTCGGATCTATATATACCTAATTACACCTAGACTAGGGTTTGTAAAAAAAAACTCAACCCAACTTGATAATAATCATATCGACCCTCGATTTCTACCAAAAACGATCCAAATTAACAATCGATTCCGGTACAGTATCTACAGACTATACAAAATCAAAGCATCCTGATAAAAATCAGAACCCTTTTCACGGAACGCATCAAACCCTAATTTCAACAAGCAAAACATCAGCCTCTTGACAATAACATAATTGAGAATAATACGAACCACAATTCTTCAACACCGACTAAAATTCAAAAACATCATCGAAGCGCATTGATCGACATATGCATGCAGATTGACCCTTCGCTTTATTTGATTGCAGGGGGCGAGTGAACGAGGATCGGTGAACCCCGGATGAAAAAACGAGGAACGGATTGCGATGAATTTGTGCTAGGAAACAGAATCCGATAAAGAGACAGAAATGGAAGAGGAGGATATGATATGTAATGAAGGATGGATATGCGAAGGGGAGAATGAAGAAAACAAAGAGAGAAGGCAGGTGTCGTTATTCTTCGTTTTCTGTATTTATTTATATTTTAGAGTAATAAATAATTATTTATCGAAAATTTATTTTTGTGGTTTAACTGAACAAAAATATGTTATAAAATTCCTATATCAAGTATTGTAATTTTTTTTATAGCAGGTTAAAGATAATAATAAATATATATCCAAATTGAGTGGCATTGGTAAAAAAAAATATTAAAATTATGTGTTCATCAAAC